GAATTAACTCGACCGTCTTCTGAATTAACTCGACCGTCTTCTCACAGAAGACGGCGTCCATTACGATACCTGGTTTGAGACACCGTATAAGGCTAAAGCAATGCTAGTGTAGTAGCTCGACGTTGAGCTCGCAGCCTACAGTATAGTTGTGTCACGTCTGGTATGGTGCAAATAGACTTGTTTGTGTTTTTTGTTTCTAGTCTGTCGCTGTCATGCAAGGCAGGAACACAAGTCAACCAGAGTCGGTAGAGTATTACAGCCAACATATTACGATGTAGCTTTTAGGAGCTTCAACAGCGACAACGTCCATCTCGACTTAGAGCTTGGACGCGAGGATCGGCTGGAGGTACTTGTGATACCCGTCGACAACGTCCGTCTGGTTGAGTGGCTCCTTGGCCGCACGCGCAATCAGCGCACGGTAAATGTCACCGTCGTACCTACCCCCTGGCCTTAGACACCCCTAGCCCTTGTATCAAATCCGATGTTACCGTCCAATGGCCGAGTTGAGCTCAAAGTCGGTCAACCCAAAGCCATCCACAAGCGCGACCGCGTTCGGACGCAGCTGCGGCAGCAAACTGAGGAGACCGTCCGTCACCCACGTCGCCTGGGTCGCGCTGAGGTAGTCGTCCATGCGGAACTCGCCGAGGTGTTGGCTCATGCGCCAGAGTGCGTACAGCTGCCAGAGCTGATGCAAGACGCTGCGGAGCGCCGTGTCGTGAATCGCAACGACGCCGTCGTAAAAGCACTGGAGAAAGACCGACTCGGCGTGGCCCATGGACGCGCGGGACTGGTAGTAGAGCGAGCCGGTGTGCGTGACAGCACTGTGGAGCGTCTGCAGCGCGCGCACTTGGAACGCGCGGAGGAGCGTCGGTGGCGCGAGCAGCTCGGTCAAATTCGTTGCCGCGCAGCGCTGGTGCAGGTCCGTGTTGAGAAAGCCAAAGAGATCCAAACTCGCGTCCGACGACCGAACGTTCACGGGCTTGTGGAGCCGCTTGAGGAGCGACGCGGCGTGCTGCTGGATGAGCACATCGAACGTGCCCTCAAACGTGCACGCGCCAATGAACTCGTGCATGAGGTGCGGGATGTTGCTCGACGCGCTAAAGCCGTGGCCGCCGCAGGCGCGGCGCATGCGCTCCATACCGTCGCCCGTCTCCATGGTCACAAAGGCCTTCAAGCCCGACGACGTCGCGTGCAGCTGGTTGAGCATGTCCAGCTGGTCTATAATTGCACCAAAAATATCAACAAATTCATCCGAAAAAAGACAAGGCAGCGTACGGGCATTCAGTGGGCCATGCAGCTGCGCCAGCATGCGGTCGTAAATGGCTTGGATCTGTCGCGATGCAAAGATGCCGCCGTAGCTCATCGCGATCATCGGCAAGAGCGTCAACTGCTGGTTCTCGTACGACAAGACAGGGACTTCGGCGTTGCTGGCTTTGGGTCCGCCTTGGAGCCGGGCCGCGCTAAAGCGGGTCGCAATCGTCGCTACGGCCGCCAAGTACTTGGCGGCGTAATGCACAAGCGCGACGCGCACGCGGACCATGGTAAAGTACACGAGCTTGTCGGACGGCGGCTTGACAAAGTCGCCGTTCGGCAGCACCTTGGCGAAGCGCATGAGCATGTGTCGGCGTGGAATGCGCACATGATGGAGCACCAAGTACCTAGAGACGATAAGCGCATACTCGTGCAACGGCCAAAAGAGTTGTACTACCCATTGTCGACCGACTGGAACCCGATCTTGGGGCCAATGTCGCCAATCTCAAGGCCCGGGAGCGTGGCATGCGTTGCTGGGTCCCGTAGCTGCACCAAGAACGCCTGGACGCCGCGGTCCTTGCCGCCGAGATGCAAGCGGGCGTGGAGCACAATGTGCGTCGCCGTCTTGCCGAGACCACCGGGCCACCACTTGCGACTCGTGAGCGTCGGCGAGTGCAAGACAAACTCTTCGGTCGTCGCGTCGTAGATGGCCGTTGTTTCGATGCCCTGGACGTTAGAGCCATGGCCGAGCTCCGTTTGGGCGTAGCCGCCGAGGATCTTGGCCTCGCGCGCGAGCGGGAGCCAGTAGTCGCGCTGCTCGTCGTCCATTTGCGTCTCGAGCGTCGGGATGAACATGGACCGGTGGACGTCAATGGGCAGCGGCTCGCCGAGGAGCTCGTAGACAAACGTACGCTCAATCGGGTCGGTCAGGTCGTGCTCTTGCAGAAAGCGCGTGTACGCGTGGGCCTTTTGAAGCGCAAACGAATATCGCTGCTTGTGGTTGCGGTACATCATGTCGCGGTCCGAGAGAACCGGGTGCGCTTCGACAAGCGACCGGAGGTAGGCCATGCGCGCCTGCCACGCCTTGGAGCCAAGGACGAGGTCGACGCACGCCTCGGTCTTGAACGTCGCGGTCGCCCGCTCGGCAGCGAGTCGCTCGATTGCCACGTCGGCGAGCTCCGGCATCGAAAAGGCAAAGTGAGCCAAGATGGCCTTTCTGGCACCGCCGTCGGTGATTGGCTACTGTTTGGATTTGTATTTTTTAAAGACACATACAAACCACAAGATATTATAAAAAGGATGGCTGGATTCGACCAAGTTGAAGCAGTAGCTTGGTCATAGAAATGGCACAGGTGTCGTCGTCTGACGGAATGCGATAGTGTGTCATTCCCTCGGTGTCGTCGCAGCGTCCGCGCCGTCAATCTAAACTGGAGGAGCGCTGCTGCAGCGCTACTGAATGCGCCAACGCACCTGCCCAACGAGACGCTTGGCGCTTGCAGCAATTGCCATCGTACTACTAGAGGAAGGGCAAGCATTAACTAAACGCCCATGTTTAGTTAATGCGCGCAATTCCTTTTGCTTCGATGTGCGGTGCTGCAAGACGAGTTCAGCATGCACCAGAGGTGTGTTGACGCCGACAACGACAGGTGCCTGCCATGGGTGCCTGCGATCTGTCTATCTATTTGTCTATCCACCCATCTATCCATTTATCTATCCATCGATCTATCCATCTATTCATCTATTGTCGTGTGATCCTATGCAATGTGAAAAACAAACTTTTATACTTCAAAGGCATATTTCAAAAACGTTGCTGACTAGGCAACCGATTGCCACTTTAGTCGACTTAGAGCTTGGATGCGAGGATCGGCTGGAGGTACTTGTGATACCCGTCGACAACGTCCGTTTGGTTGAGCGGCTCCTTGGCCGCACGCGCAACCAGCGCACGGTAAATGTCACCGTCGTACCTACACCCCTAGCCTTAGACAACCCTAGCCCTTGTATCAAATCCGATGTTACCGTCCAATGGCCGAGTTGAGCTCAAAGTCGGTCAACCCAAAGCCGTCCACGAGCGCGATCGCGTTCGGACGCAGCTGCGGCAGCAAACTGAGGAGACCGTCCGTCACCCACGTCGCCTGCGTCGCGCTGAGGTAGTCGTCCATGCGGAACTCGCCAAGGTGTTCGCTCATGCGCCAGAGTGCGTACAACTGCCAGAGCTGGCGCATCGCGTGGCGCAGCGCCGTGTCGTGAATCGCAACGACGCCGTCGTAGAAGCACTGGAGGATCACCGACTCGGCGTGGCCCATGGAGGCGCGCGAAATGCAGTGCATGGACGCCTTGTGGCGGTCCGCGACGAGCAGCGTTTTGAGTGCGCGCACTTGGAACGCGCGGAGCAGCGTCGACGGCTCGAGGAGCATCTCGGGCGTCATCGCATCGCACGGTGACGACGCGTCCACGCGCATGTAGGCGAAGAGGTCCATCGACGAGGACGAGGATGGCGTAGGCTTGTGGAGCCGCTTGAGGAGCGACGCGCCGTGCTGCTGCACGAGCACATCGAACGTGCCTTCGTACGTGCACGCGCCGATGAACTCTTGCATGAGGTGCGGGATATTGCTCGACGCGCTAAAGCCGTGGCCACCGCAGGCGCGGCGCGCGCGCTCCATGCCGTTGCCGACCTCGGTCGTCAGAAGCGCCTTCAAGCCCGACGACGTCGCGTGGAGCTGGTTGAGCATGTCGAGCTTGTCTACCACCCATCATGTGCGTTTTCGAAGAGGAAGATGACCATGGAACAACGTACGGGCGTCCATGGGGCCGCCGAGGGCCGACACCATGCTGTCGTAGATGCTGGTGAGGCGGCGCGACGTGAACATGGCGGCGTAGCTGAGCCCAATGAGCGGGAAGAGCGTGAGCTGCTGGTTCTCGTAAGCGAGGACTGGCACTTCGTCCGTCTTGCTGCCGCGCGCATAGCCTTGGAGACGCGCGGCGCTGAACCGCGTCGCAATCGTCACAACAAACGCCATGTACCTAGAGCCGTCATTGCGTCAGATGGCCACAGAGAGAGATTTCTGCACCGGTAGCAGACGTAGGAGATGAAGACGCGGACGCGGACCATGGTAAAGTACACGAGCTTGTCGGTCGGCGGCTTGACAAAGTCGCCGTTCGGCAGCACCTTGGCGAAGCGCATGAGCATGTGTCGGCGCGGAATGCGGACGTGGTCGAACGCGCAGTAGCTATACAGATACAATGTATCGTCGTCACAGGAGGCTGCCACGTCATGTACCCATTGTCGACCGACTGGAATCCAATCTTGGGGCCAATGTCGCCAATGCTAACGCCTGCCAAGGGCGCGTGCGTTTGCATGTCCCGCAGCGGCACCAAGAACGCCTGGACGCCGCGGTCCTTGCCGCCGAGATGCAAGCGGGCGTGGACGATCGCATGGTTGGCGGTCTTGCCGAGACCTCCGGGCCACCACTTGCGACTCGTGAGCGTCGGCGAGTGCAAGACAAACTCTTGCGTCGTCGCGTCATAGATGGCCGTTGTTTCGATGCCCTGGACGTTGGAGCCGTGGCCGAGCTCCGTTTGGGCGTACGCGCCGAGGATCTTGGCCTTGCGCGCGAGCGGGAGCCAGTAGGCACGCTGCTCGTCGTCCATTTGCGTCTCGAGCGTCGGGATGAACATGGACCGGTGGACGTCAATGGGCAGCGGCTCGCCGAGCTGGTAGTAGACAAACTGCTGCTCGTCTGGCGTCGTGATGTTGTGATCTTCAAGAAAGGACACGAACGCGTGCGACTTGGCGAGTGCGACTTCGTATCGCTCCTTGTGGTTGCGGTACATCATGTCGCGGTCCGAGAGAACCGGGTGCGCTTCGATGAGCGACCGGAGCTCGTCCATGCGCGCCTGCCACGCCTTGGAGCCAAGGACGAGGTCGACGCACGCCTCGGTCTTGAAGGTTGCGGTCGCCCGCTCCTTCTGAAGCAGCTGCGGCGCGAGGTCGGCGAGTTCTTTTGGCATGTTGAACGAAGATACGATACTGACCTCGCCTTCTTGCGTCGACGGCTCGCTGATGAGTTAATCCACTCGACTTGCAAGCCGCGGCGGCCACGACTGCAACCATCTGGTCGGGTTTGACTGCATCGTCGTATCCACATACAAAAACAAGTTCAATGGTTTTTCGAACGGCCACCGAGCTGGATACGATGGGACGCGGGCCGTTCGGATACAACGCGCAAACTGAGAGGAAATTCATCTGATTTTGAACTCCATTTACCCCAATGTCAACGACATGTAGCCACGTCAAAACTCGAGATGGACGTCGTTCCTCAGTCACCACCCCGTACTATGATCATGAACATGTCTGGATGAGGCTTCAGCACTCGGCCTCGAATATGACGGAAAGAAGAAGCAGGGCCGAAATGGGCATGTTTGGACTGTCCTGTCATTTTGAAGCCAACACGAACAATCAAGAGAGGGTGGTTGCGAAGGGGCTGGAGCCTCACACCTATCCCGTCCCGTTTTGACCAGCATCGCACGGAAAGACACGGGTGGATGATTAAGAGAGACGTCACAAGTACCACGAGGACCACACGTATCCGTATCTGCAACCTCGTCGTGCCACGTCATGAAACGGCGTTTCTCACCGGGCGTGCGTCGCGAACGCGGCGTGGACAGAAATGGGTTCATAGTGCTGTCGCTTCTACATATACCGAATGCGACTCGATCCCACACCTCCTGTAGACCACCAAGCATAACGAGCTGGTCGATCCAGAGCGTCGTCTGGGACCCATCAGATCTCATTTGGCGTCCAGCAACCTCGTTTTGCCACGTCATGAAACCGCCTGTCCCATTGTCAGCGGCAACCACGCCTCGCCTCCCAACCTGTAGCACATCAAATACGGGGAGACGGCAGTGACATTTCTCTACCCAAACCATCATTTAAGCTCATGTCTTGGTCACGGAAAAGGCCGGGGTGCCACACGACCGCACGTAGCACGCTTGTTCGCACGCGTGGACGCAGACGTAGTATTCGTCCAGCTCATGTAGCCACGTCGGGTGTCCGTGGGCGTGGGAGCCCGCGCTTCGCGCGTCGTCGTCGAGGCCGCACGCAAAGTACTCGTGCGCGATGACATTGGTAATGCGGACATTCGAGCACTCAAGGAGAACACTCAAGGGGACATACTTGGTCGGTTCGGGTCGCCACTCGGCGGTATCAATCCAAATGCACGGCCCAATGAGACTAAAGTACGGACTCGACTTTTCGAGCTTTTGCGGCCGCACGCGCACGACCCGGAGCAGCGGCGTGATGCACTGCACAACGTGGCGCTGCACGATGGGACGACGCAAGCAGCCGAGTACAAACGCCCACAAAAGAACGAGGAAGAGCTGGTTGTGGACCCACGCGAGGCCTGGCAGCACAAGTCGCCACGCGCACATTTGAGCGACGCATGCGGCGAGGAGCGTCAGCGGCAGCAGCCCCAGCACGAGCCACGCAAGAGCGTACCCTGCAACGTTGACGGCGATACCAGGCATCGTATCTAGAAACGCCATCGCAAAGAGATTCCATGAGTACGACACGAGCCGGAGGACGTCGGCGATGGACGCGAGATGGCCCCAGACGTCCACGTGGCACGCATACAGCGCGTCGACGCTCACATCGTCGATCGTGTCGGCCCACGCACACCCGGACTGCATCGCGCCGAGGTGCCACGCGCAGAGGCCAAGAAACGCGGCCGTTCGCATGAAGAGGCGGTGGCGCGCCCAGATGGCACCGCTAACGCTCGAGTTGACGACGCTAAAGATGCGCTGGGCCGCGTGCATGTCCAGCTGCCGGTGTGCGTGATACCACAGATAGAGCTTGCGGAGGTAGAGGCCGGTTTCGAGGCTGAAATACGCATCGCCACCGAGCGCGAGGAGCGATAGAAAGTTGAGCACAATGGCTTCGCTCCCGTTCGACTTGACAACGACAAGCGTCGCTTGCGTGCCTTGCGTCAAAAGATCGACGACCAGCGACGGGTACGAGGTCTGCGGCGTGCGCCCGCCAATGAGACAGGCCCAGATCGCCGTGGGGCCGGCCGTCTTGGCGACAGTCGCTTGCTTGCGCGTGCCGTCGACCGCGATCGACGTGATAAGGACCGCGTCCTGGCCGTGCCCGAGCCCAAAGCAGGCCATGTCAGCAAACACATCCGAGAGTCCGTGCGCGATAGAGTCGGCCGTCGCGACGCAGGTGTTGCCCCGCCTGTACGTGAGCGTTGTGCCACCGCTGGCGCTTGCGTTGGCGCAGGCAGAAAAGCAGCCGTCGCCGACGAGGCACAGCTCTTCGAGGGCATCCGACGCCAAGACGTCTTCGCCCACCGCGCGCAAGAGCTCTTTCCAGAGCAAGTTCCAGCCCGTGAGGTTGCCCGGGGTCGCCATGCGGATCGCATCGAGTGGCACCACGGTCATGCGACGATAGTCGTAACTCGTGAGCTGCCCGAGCGTCGACGTTTCGGTAAAGGCGTCAGAGTCGAGGTACCGCGTGCCCGAATTGCGATCGAGGTACTTGCCAAGGAAGAAGCTGGGCAACGTGCTGCTGAAGCGTTCAAAGCACTGGCGCGGGTCCGAGTGGTTGGTGACGGGATCGACGTACTGGATCGAGCACCACCACGCCGTCTCGCGCGCGACGAGCATCGCGTTGAGAAAGCCCGAGCTCGCCGAGAGTGCGTGCATCGGGTTTGGGCCGCTGATCTGGTACGTCACAGTGCCAGAGCGCGTGCCGGACAAGTCGATGTAGCCGTCTTTGAACGTCATGGGGCGGTACAGCTGGGCGCTGCCCGCGACGTTGAGGAGCCCGACACTGAAGTTCGTGGCCAGCTCGGCGGCCAACTGCGTGAGCGCGGCCGCGGTCGACGTGGCGGATGCAACGAGGACACGCCGCCGCGCCAAGCACGCATTGAGGTGTGGAAACATTGCGCGACGCCACGCTTGCACCGCGGCGTGGTCCGACGCGCGATGGTACGGTTGGAGGAGGGACTGGAACACGAGGTAGACGTAGTCTTCGAGGTTGATACCGCGGAGACACAGAACCCCCTCGGTGATCTCTTGGAGGTTGGTCGGAGCGTTCTGCGGCGGAATGAACTTCGTAATGACTTCGCTGCCCCAGAGCGGGAACCCCGAGGATGCAAACGCTGAAATGTCGGTGTCGAAGCGCGCTCGCTCGGCATACCCGTCGAGACCACTGCGGTAGCTCTGGCCCTCCACGTCGAGCTGCGCCGAGCCGTTCGTCGCATCAAACGAAGCGGCCCAGAGCAGCTGCGAGCGCGGCACGACGACGAAATCCAGAAACACGTTGATGTACCGCGTCGGCGGGAGTGGCGCCGAGAGCGGAATTCCCGCCGCCGCGTACAGCTGCGTCAAGAGGCGGCTGTTGAGCACGGTGTTCCACTGCAGCGTCAGCGTGAGAATGTCGTTGGTCGCAACAAAGCCGTAGCGTGCGAGGTACCAGGATTTGAAGGGCGACGCGAGGTTCCAGAGACAGCTGAGGCAGTAGCCAAGCGCGAGCAGCTGCCGCCGCCGACGCCGCACACTGGCGTCGGGCGGTAGCATTGCTGCCGAGGGTAGGATGCGGTTGGACGCGTGGTAAAAGAGCATCACGAGACCGTTTTCGGTGTTGCGCCTTGTCTGTACATTGTCGACTTTTTTTGATATTTTTGGCTCGTGAAACAGCGACTAAGCGATTGATTGCAGTCATCAGTTTGACGCTGGATGCCGCAACGGGCCATTGCGAAAGCTATGGCGGCGCGGCCACATACGCGCTGCAAGGACGGACCTCGGGAGAGTCGACTTCCGATGACGATAGCTGCCTAGAACAACTCAACACCTCGTGCGAGCCGTAGGATGAGAAGGAGCAACCGGTGGTCACGCTTGAGAAAGCGAGAGGTCGAACATTCTGGCTGCGTGCAGCACAATTGCTCAGATCCATCGAGTAACACAACACGTACTAATATAATATATGTAATACCCTCCCAGCTAAGGCTCGGATCGTCGTTCCGTGTCAACAAAGCATGCATTTCGATCTCTCAGACTGTGATTGGCTCGTTCGTTTTGGCGGTCACTCGTGGCGCCACGTCATATTGCCGCCAAGCGTGGATAGCTAGCGTGGATATATGGAGGAGATGACTCGTACGTTTAATGATTAACAAGTCGTCGTGAATAAATAGGAGGCAACGATGTCAGTCGTATTACAACAGAATCGAGAGTTTAGCGCCACTTGGAGTCCGGCGCGCGGGCACCCGCGTCACGGCGGGCGGCGTCCGGCTCGCCTTCCCGGGCGCGGCCAAAGCGCGACGGGCCGTCACGGTCGCCACCAAAGCGGCTCGAGCCCTCACGGTCACCGCCGAAACGCGGCGCACCTTCACGGTCACCGCCGAAGCGGCTCGAGCCCTCACGGTCGCCGAAGCGGCCCGAGCTCTCGCGATCACCACCGAAGCGCGGCGCGCCCTGTCACCGCCGAAGCGCGACGGCGGGCATCATCGCGGTCACGGCCAAAGCGCGAGGGACCGTCACGGTCACCACCGAAGCGCGACGGCGCCGGGGCGTCATCACGGTTGAAGCGGCCGCTGCCAAAGCGGGACGGACCGTCGCGGTCGCCACCAAAGCGCGACGGGGGCGCGTCGTCACGGCGGGCGCCAAAGTCGCGGCCCGACGGCTTGAAGGCATCGTCCGCCCGGCGGTTGCCACCGCGCACCGAGGACCAGCCCTCTTCGTCGCCAGTGGGCTCGGCCGCACGGCGCGTCGGCGGCACGTACTTGTTGGCGGCCTTGGCCTCTTCCTGGCGGCGGACCTCCTCTTCCTCTTCGCGGCGGAGGCGCTCGACTTCACGCGCGGCCGCTTCCTCGGCTTCCCGCGCGGCTTCCTCCGCCTCGGCGATGCGGCGCTCTTCCTCCTCGGCCTCGAGGCGGAGCTTCTCTTCGAACTCGTACTCGCGGTCCTTGGCGCGGCGGATCTTGTCATCGAGCACGTTGATCGTGTGGCGCAGCTTGCGCTCCTCGACGATCGCTTGGAACTTGACGGTCTGGCGGGCGACGTGGGCATCGCAGAACGCCACGCACGCGTCCTGGCACTTGGCCAAGAGCGCCTTCTGGGCAAGGCCGAACGTGTGTTCGTCCTCCGCCGCCTTGAGCGTCGCGGCCCACGACGCGTCAAACGCGTTGCGCTCGTCCGTCTACGTCAAATATCAAGGTATCAATATCCCTATCCATCGCTCCATCGAGACAAGGTACCTGCTTGGCGTCGAAGATGCGCTGCAAGATCGGCTGTTCAGCCTCGCGCGTCGCACGCACAATGTAGTCGAGGCGGCGCGCGGCGTCCTTGAGCTTGCGCTGGGCCTCTTCCTTCTGCTTGATCGCCTTCTCCTTGGCGTCCGCGAGCAGCTTTCCTTGTCGACCGTGTCAAACTCGACGTCGTCCGTGTTCATGCCGAGCTTCTTGAGCGTCTTCTCAATGTCCTTGCGCTCGATCTCTTCCTGGATGCGGCGGGCCGCCTCTTCTTCACGGCGGCGAGCTTCCGCGGCGAGGCGGTCGGCTTCCTGCTTCTGGCGAAGGAGCTCGGCCTCCACGCGCTTCTTCTCTTCGGTCTTGGCCTTCTCGGCCATGAGGCGCTCAAAGGCCTCCTTCTGGGCTTCGATGCGCACCTTGCGCTCCAGCATCGCGTCCCGCGTCGACGAAAGGTTGGTGCGGGCATTGGCAAAGACGCTCGGGCGAGGCGTCGTCGCACTCGGGAGCTGGCGCACGCACGCCTGGAGCTTCTGGCCGAGCTGCGTCATCTGCTTGGCCTGGCCCTCGAGGGCCATCGTCTGCGAGAAGCGGACCACGTTGGCGCGGTGGTCGATGCGGAGACGCGTCGCGCTCTGGTCGCGGTTGGACTGCGACCGGACGATCCACTGCTCCATTTCCGTCACGTTCATGCTCAGGCCTTGCGTGAGCGTGTTCAGATGCGCGACCGTCACACTCGAGTAGACTTCGGTGAGCTGCGAGAGCACGTGGTGCACCGCGAGCTTCTCGACGGCCGGCGCGTACTTGGCGAGGCCGGCGTCGGCCTTGAGCGACATGACGTGGGGCGCGACCGCCGAGGCCACGGCGAGCGGGTCGATAGGCGACCGCTCGAGCGTCATGTACAAGGCGCGCACGCTCGGGTAGGCGGCGTCGACAATGTGCAAGGCGGCCATGTCGTCGAGAAGCTGCTGGCGCGTCGGCGGCGCGAGCTGCGTGAAGCCGAGGAGCGCGGCCATGTGCTCGTCCTTCTCTTCCAGAAGCACCGCCGCGTTGTCGGCGTTTTCAAGGAGCGCGACGTTGTTGGCCTGGACGGGGATCGAAAGCGACGCAAGCACGACCTTGGACGCGAGCAGCGGCAGCTCCATGATGGGCGTCAAGCGTTCACGCTGGATGAGCGTGTAGTACTTGAACCACGCGTACGCGTGGTAGACGTGGTTGTTGCTAATGTAAAAGACCTCGGCGAGCTTGTGGTAGAAGGTCGCCATGAGCGTCGGCTTGGGCAAGGTCTCGAGAAAGCCAAAGACGAGGTGGACGTCGTCGACGGTGCGGAAGGCTTCAGTCCAGAGCTCGAGCGACGACGCCGTGTCGAGCTGCTCGAAACGGATCGAGAGGTGGAGCTCGACCGAGTCGGCGCTCCAGCCGTCCCAGCCGCGCATCTGGCGGATGCTCTGCGTCGTGGGCGCGGCTTCGTGGCGCTGCAGCGTGTAGAGGTGCGTGCGGAGGATCTCGCAGAGGCGGCGGAACTCGATCTTGCGCGCATACGTGCGGCAGAACGCAAACGCGCTGAGCGCGACCTGCTTGTAGAGGCCTTCGAGCTTCGTGTTGCAGCGCAGAATGTCGAGGACGGTCCGGTAGGTCTCCCACATGAAGCGGAGCCACGGCACGAGGACTGCGCGGTCGGTGCGGTCGGTCGAGTCTTCGGCCGTCGTCGTCGAGAGCATGACAGCTTCCGGCGACTGCGCCGACTCGAGGTCGACCGACGCGTTCAAGCTAATCTCGGTCGAGTACTGGCGGGCCTCGGCCGCGCGCTTCTCCGACTCGGCGACGAAGAAGAGAAGGACCTTCTCGAGCGACGCCGGGTTCTGCGCGAGCACGAGGTTGCGGTACTGGTGCAGACCGTCCTTGGCAATGCGGCCGAGCTGCAGATCGATCGTGATCTTGAGGTACGTCAGCATGAGCTCTTCGTGCATCGGCTGCCACGTGCGGTTCTTCTTGGCGATGAGCGCCTCGTGGAGGATCTCCAGCGCCGACCGCTTCTGCCGCTTCATCACGTTGGCGTCCACATTGGGCGTGTTCAGAAGCTCGTTCGCACGCTTGAGCGCGTTCTCGGGCTTCTGGAAGAAGTGCGACATCGTCCGTGCGCCGGTTTGGAAATGACACATCGAGCCAACCAATGGCACGGTATCCGGCATCCGGAAAACCAACGTGGCAGCATGTGGTGCTGTTTATAGCAACGCGGATGGACGGACGACGCCGCTGTCGTCGCACTGGGCGATAGCGGGTGGCAGCGAGTACAGGATGCGGTATCGTCGTCGCGGCGTGCTATAGTCCTATGAAGAGCACACCTACCGACGTGCCAGGATCGCGTGGCCCAAGGGCTACGGAGTACTACCGCTGGATGGGGACCGCGGAACACATCCATTCGAGCGTGGCCGCGTTGTTTGTGAATGCTAGTACTCGTGTGGCGTTGCATGAGCGATGCGTGGCTACATGGGCTGCTCTGTCGCTACAGCAGCAGATGACCTGCTTATGCACACTACTGTTGCGTCACCGTACTACGTAGTGGGCCAGAACCGGCCTTGGAAAAAGGCTATCCTCGGACGCTTCAAAGCACTTGAGCTGCCACCGTACTGCGCTGGGCTGCTCAAAGGCCGGCACGCCGTCCACGTAGAGCCGACGTTCTGCTCATATGGGCAACAGGATGTCCCGATGGCTCATGTGCGATCGCGCAGAGCATGCTGTACGGTACGTAGCCAGTGCCCACGCGCAGCTAGCGATGCGTGAGCCACCAGCAGGCACCATGCCGCCCCTGCCATGCACCGCCCGTTGGCCCTCTCAACGGCCGACCAGACCAGAAAGGCCAAGCCGAGATCCTGGTTTGGATTCCGTACCTATGCGGGTGTTCGATATTTCAACGAGAAAAGCCACGAGAGCCGCAGACGACGCCGGTTCCTGCGTCTCGCGATGCCAGGGCCCACCGCCATGCAGCGCCCACAAACGGGACGAGCAACATGCAGGAGCAGCTCATCATGTGGTAGGCCAACGACGGTATTCACATGGCCATGGAGGCTTCCACTACTCCATGGTGACCTCGTCAATGTTGCGCTGGAGGAACGCTTCGTACGAGCCTTCCGAGAAGAGCGTGCAGAGCACGCCATCGTGCACGTAGCCAAGCTTGGTCGGCGCACACGGCAGCTCGGCGAGACAGGCGGCGTACGACCGTGGCAGTGGCACGCAGTACGTTTCGGCGCCGTGGCGCACCGTGAGCGTCGACAGGGCAGGGCCCGTACGATGGAGGGGCATGCGACTGAAGCTCTTGTCCATGGCGAGGATCATGGCGCGGACATGCGCGTCGGTCGTCGTCGACGCGTAGTACATGTTGCCGTCGCTGCCAAAGAGCGTCGTGCCGGCCGCGCGTAGGTAGTCGAGCGCCGTCTGCAGGAGCAGCTCGGGCGTCGTCGTCACATGAAACACGATCGGCGTCGCAATGACCTTGGCGGATGTGAAGAACTGCGTGCTGGATGTGATCGCGATCTGGCGCAAGGCGCGGCCGTCGCACTCGCCGAGGTTGGCGACGTAGATGTAGGAAGGGCGGTCCATGCTCATGCTGCTAGGCGACAGGCGATCGAGGCTCGGCAGTGCAAATGGACTTGTGAGACCCGGGAGCTGCGACTGTGCACAGGTTGTCCTAGATCCTGCTGAAAAGGATTTTAAGCCAATCCGTGGCCAGCATCTTGAAGGAGCGTCGGCGATTGGCTGCTTTTGGTGATGCATCGAGCGACGTTCCGCGTCGAGGGTGATGTAGTAGACAAGTTGTGCACCCTCGCGATCGTACTGAGATAGTGTCGTCTAGAATTCAGACAGTATGTCGTCCTCCACACGTAGTACATATATATGCTGATGATCCCGTCGTTGCCATCTCAACGCTTTGGTGCGGGTCCAAAGCGAAATGTCTTTCTTAAATGTGGCACATGCCGCAGACATCGGCCGGCGATGCAACACCGCATTGAAATTACACGCATGCACCCCAGCACGATGCCAGGATGCCAGGATACCGCGCATCCGCTCAAACGATTAAGATGTATTGGATGGCTCATGCATGGGCATGACCTTTGACGCCTGCAAGAGCAAGAAACGTCGCGCATTTAACGTCCACGCCGAAAATACGAGATATGCCGAAAACAACAAAGTACGCAGCGCACTTAATCGGAGGTGCCAAGTCGACCAATCAGTGCGCGCAGCTCGGTTTACTGGTTCTCGTCGACATAACTTGGGATTCTGAACAGGATGGCGCTCCTCCTTACCCGTGTCCGCACCGCGTTCGCCGCTTCGGGCGTCCATGTCCGCTCCGTCTCGCTCGTGACGCGCTTCCCGGAGACGGCGCTGGGCCTCAAGGTCCGCGACGAGAAGAAGGTAGGCGCCATGGCGCTGGCTGCCACCGCTCACATGCCACTCTTTAGCCCTTCTTGGACCTCCCGACGGCCTTGGCCAACTGCAAGGAAAACGCGGTCCGCAAGTTTGACGAGGTGCGTCGCTGCGTTCGCCGCATGTAGAAGCTCATGGCCCGTGATCTGCAGACGGTCGATATCGTGGTCGAGCTCGGCGTCGACCCGCGCAAGCCCAACCAGAGCGTGCGCGGCGTCGTGACGCTCCCCAACGGCACGGGCAAGACGGTCCGCGTCGCTGTCTTCGCCAAGGGCGAAAAGGCAGGTAGGCACACGACACGCGCCCATGTGGCATGGCAAAATCTCATCACTCTCGCCTGCAGAGGAGGCCAAGGCCGCGGGTGCGACGATTGTCGGCGCCGAGGACTTGCTTGCCGACATCCAGGCCGGCAAGCTCGACTTTGACCGGTGCATTGCTACCCCAGATATGATGGCCCTTGTCGGTCGTGTTGCCAGAGTACGCCCCTCCTTTTTGCTCTGCGCTCGACGCCTCACGCTGCGGCATAGGTGTTGGGCCCGCGCGGCTTGATGCCCAACCCCAAGTTGGGTACGGTCACGCAGGACGTCTCAGCAGCCATTTCGGTACGGCATACTCATCGCGACATGGCGTCTCACGATCGGATCGTAGGCGGCCAAGGGCGGCCAGGTCGAGTTCCGTGCCGAGAAGAAGGGCATCGTGCACGCCGGCGTCGGCAAGGTTAGTTTCTCGGACGACGCGTTGATTGAAAACATCCGCGCGTTCATGGTCGCGATCGGCGACGCCAAGCCCGAAGGTGCCAAGGGCAAGTACATCAAGGCCATGCACCTCAGTAGTACGATGGGCCCTGGCATCCGGCTGGAAGCCCGCCTCTTGGACCCGTCGTCGCCCCAGTTTATGCGCTTCTAAGTTCGCAGTGACGAGTCACCAATAGATTACGACAAATAGTACCTGTACAGTGTCCTTGGTCAGACCTGTTGCTGCAGACGACTTTTCATGCATCGCTCGCAGGCCATCATAACACATCCTGTGTGGAATTTCGACCAATGGCATCGCGTGCAATGGCAGAACGCAAGGCCATTGGCCAAAAAGCTGGAGTTTGCCCACACGCTCTACTTGTTCCTGGACCGACGATGATGTTGATGGCGCGCGGCGTGCACAAGCGCGCGTACTCGCTCTCTGTCCAGAGCCTGCTGCAACAGTCGCTCTTGGCCACGGCCTACCCGCAGCTGACAGACAACAACACGCTTTTCCGGCGGTCGCACCAGCCGCAGACCGACTACCAAGTACTCCGCCTTCCACCCATGCTGCACCTCCACCACCACGTATGTGCGTAGTCGAGCGCGGTGCTGAGCCTCGGGCTGCCGGCCAAAGAGCGCGTGCCCGCCGCCGAAGCCGTCTTACAGCGTCTCATCAAGGCCGACACGACAATGCTTGACCGTGCCGACGTCACGGCGCCGGGTGCGGCTATCCACACTCGCGCTCCCGTGAAGCTCACCACCCATAGGCTTTATCAACGTCACACTACGCTCCGACTGGATCGCGCAGCATGCGTTTACAATGGCGACGACGGGCGTGCAGCCGCGGTCGGCGGGCGACCACAAGCAGCGCGTGATCGTCGATTTTGCCTCGCCCAATATGGGCAAAGGTTCGCACACAGCTTTGCAACTCGACGTACGATTGTGCACCCACGCGTAGAGCTCCATGTTGGCCACTTGCGCTCGAGCGTCCTCGGCGACACGGTCTGTAACCTCCTCGAGTTTCAAGGTGCGCTTTGGCCTCGTGTACGACGTGTTGAAACAGTTGGCGTAGGCCACGACGTGACGCGCGTCAGTCACGTCGGCGATCTCGGCTCGGCCATTGCCACGCTGCTCGTGCAGGCCATGGACGATGTTGACAACGCGGCTTTGGCGCTGCCGCCTCGAGCCGACCTCCTCGATGCGTCGGCCTCGGCAGCGGACCTCGGACGGTGGTACGAGCGCGGCAAGCAACGTCTGACCACCGACGCTGCCTTCAAGACCCACGTGCGATATTCAACCTTCCACGCTCAAAGGATTAAAGGACTTGCCTTGGCGTCCTGTAGGTCGACTCGGTCGTGCTGCAGCTGCAAAAGACCGACGCGTCGCCATGGACACTGCCGTGGAAACAGACGTGTGCGATTAGCCGCGCCGCGTTTGCCGGTCTCAACGCCCGTCTCAACGTCACCGTTCGTCCCAACCATTGTAGTAGAAGGATGCGAATTCGTCTGGATTAGGTACACGAGCGTGGCGAAGCTACGTACCTATCCCTGATCCCCAAGGTGCTCGAGCTTCTCGTGCAGTCGGGTCTCGCAGTTGAGTCGCAAGGTACACAAGTCCGTCGTGCGACGCAATAGACCAAAGCCGCTCTCTTGCAGGCGCGCTCTGTATCTTTATTGATGGCCCCGACAAGTCGCCGATGCTCATCCGCAAGCAAGACGGCGGTACATTGATCGCACTTGATACCTTGATAGTTAAAATGGCCGCGTTCGGGTAGGCTTTTTGTACGCCACGACGGACCTCGCGACGCTCTACTCGCGTATCCACGGCGACCCGTCGATCGACCCGATCGCGTACGACCGCGCCATTTACATTACGGACCTCAGCCAAAGCTTGCACTTTCGCCACTTGTTTGAAGCGGCCCGCCGCGCAGGGTAGCCACGACGACAGTGTTGATGCGATTATAGACCACTCGTCGTCATGTAGGTGGACTGCTGGCCGTCCCGTGCAATTGGACCACGTCGGCTTTGGTCTCGTCATGGGCGAAGATGGCACCAAGCTGAGCTCGCGCAAAGGTTGCGACGTTGGATTTTTGCGTATTTTATGGAATTTTACGGCAGGTGGCTCGACGTCGCTCGAGGCGCTCTTGAACCAAGCTGGTCTTGAGAGCGCCCAACGGTCGGTTGTCGCCGACGCCGACCACGGCTACATTGGTGACGCGGCCGTACGTTAAACCAAGGGAAAGGACACGAATGCTATGGTGTACTGGACATGCTAGGTGCGTTACTATGACTTGGCGCAGCACCGTGAGCGCAACTACAAGTTTGCGTACAGCTCGGTACTCAACCTCAAGGGCAACACGGCCGTGTACCTCATGTACGCGAGTGCGCGCCTCCAGGTACACGCAATGCGATGGACCATGGGGCAAGGGTCGTCTTGGGACTAGGGGATTCGCCGGAAAGCAGGGCTCACCGAGGCGTGGGCTTCGGTCTTGGCCGACCCCGCCTCCGCAGCGGTGCTTCTTGGTGCGTTGTGCCGTCGACATGTGCGCTTGTTTGACGCAACTCCTGTAGAGGCGTCGGCGACGTGGCACCCGACCGAGCGCGCCTTGGCCTTGGTCTTGAGTCAGTTTGAAGATGCGCTGCTCGAGACGCAGGCCGGATGGTACACCCTCCCTCTTGTAGCTGGCGTGGATTGAGGAATGCGGTGGATGTAGGCACCCGCACATGCTCTGCGAGTACATGTTTCGACTCACAACGAGCTTCCACGCGTTCTACGAGGCGTGCCGCGTCCAGAACCACGCTCCGCGCCTTGTGCTCTGCGCCGCGACCGACGCCGTCCTCCGCCGGGGCCTTGCACTTCTCGGTATTGCGGCCATCGAACGCATGTAGAGAAAAATGCTACGACAATGTACACGACGCAGAAAGTGGATGCTGTGGGTTGACTTCTCATCATTGAGCGTGCTGGAAGTTGTCTCATTAGCACATATCGTACGACGTGCGCCCTATATATGTGCACCAGTGTAATTTGAAGTCGTCCAACGGTATGTACATGATTTTAGGCTCCTGGGGACGACGGTCCACTGATGCTGACAACATGCTGAAAGCCATATCTCTTAAATGTGGCGATAAATGTCTATATATGGCGTGTGCCAACGTTAAAAACGCCTCGACTGCTTTCTCTCGCTGCAGGCTGTGCACGCCAACATAAAGTAGCTTGTCGTGCTCTACAAAGTGTCTGCTATCGTTGAAGCAATGTTGCAGCACTTTCACTTTCAGACGCCAGGGCAGCGATCGAGGTGCTCGTCGCGGCGTGTGCCAGCCTGAATCGGCTCGGATTGGCTAAAAAGAATTGACGACAACCAATCAGACACGTCACAGCATGGAGTTGCATCGATGGGATCTGGCCACCGCCGCATTGCCTTGTGCTTTGTGGTTCCTAACAAACTACCGATCAAGTAGAGTCAACGCTTCTATAGGAAAGCTCGTGCCAGCTTAGCCTGCTGTCTGCTTGTCTTGTCGACAACACAGCAGCTTCCTACGGTGCGGTACACACGACGACGTAGGAGCTCGAGCCGACAGCAAAGCGTCGCTATAGCTTGCTCTATACTAGCTCAATCTATCTACTGTCCGTTGCCATTAAACCTGTCCTCGTTCGATATCGCAGGCGAGTACCCTAACCACATCCACCGCATCAAAGGACCCTTGCATGGATTATTACCAACGAAGCACACAGGTCCACGCACACATCTATTGACGACTACTGTACAAGAAGGGCACTAAATAACAGAGACGGCGCTAGCAAGGCGAGTAGATCTCCCAGCAGTGCATCTGCAGCGGCTCTAGATTCCGCTCGCACTCGACGACGTTGTCCCACATGGCCGCTTGCGCAAAGTCGTGCTCGTAGGCTTTGAGTAGCTTGACGGTCGCCGTGAGGTACGAGAGCCACGAGACGAGCTCGCACGGCGTCTCTTCGACGGCCGCCGCGAGCTCCTCGAGGCCCTCCAAGAGCGACGCCGCGACGTCGGCGTCGACGCCAAAGCTCCGCGCGCACTCGACGAGCTCATACAAATGCGACACCAAGTCCAAGCAGCACTCGACCGTGAGCTTCGAGTGGTACCGGAATTGCAGCGCTTCAAACTTGAGCTCGGTCGCTTCGACGTGCGAGCTCCACTCGTCGGGCACGAGCTCGAGAAGCGATGCGAGCGACTGCGACAAAAAGTGGAACGACTCGGACAAGAGGTGGGGCTCCTTCTGGATCGCGTCGGCGGTCGCATCCAGATCCAGCGCCATGGCCGCAAAGGCGTCAGCGACCTCGGGGTCATGGACGCCAAGGTGGGCTTGGTAGGCAATGTCCCACATGTCCTGGATGAGCGAGAGGGCCTCTTCGGCAATCTCAGCATCTTCGTCCGCCACGTCGTTGTGTTCGCCGTCGTGGGCATCCTCCAGCGGCCCGTCGCCGTCTTGGGAGAGTGCGTCGACGTCGATCTCAAGGTACGGCTCGAGGAGGCTGTCCTTGGTGAGGCGCGGCGCGCCTTGGTCGAAGTCGAAGTCATCTTGCGGGCTCTCCATTTCGGCCGTCGTACCTTCGTCGGTCGTGGGCGGCTGCTCGCTCTTGTAGTAGTAGCTCACGAGCTCGTCCTCGTTCGTGTCGCGGTACGAGTGCACGTCACCGGTCGTGTCGACCTCTTCGTCGTCGTCGTTGGGCATGTCGATCTCGAGCGACGGCACGCGGATCGACTGGTAGCTGCACGCGACGCAGAGGCCGTTGGCGAGGTCCAGGAGACTCGGGTCAATGGTCGCGCCGCAGCCCTTGCATGTGCAACAACGACTCGGCGCTTGGCTATGTGCCGCCTCCATGGTGGACGATGTTTCTTGCGGCAGTGTAATGCGCACGGCGATCGGCGCCTCGACGGCGCACGTGGCCATGAGCGGCTCGGTGCGCTCCCTCCACTCGTCTTCGGGCTTGTGGATGCAAGTATAGACGATGATACCGGCGACGCAGACGCCTGCGAGCGCCAGCAAGACGAACGGCAGGACGCTCATGCTTGGTGTTCCGTCGGTCGTTTGTCGCTATGGCGGCGCAGTTGCGTCGTAGGGTGGTTGAGCGGCAGCTGGTCGAAATATCGAAACGTGTGGGTTCGATTTTTTTATTCTGTTTGAAGTTTTGTATGGACGCTTGGGCCAATTGGGTGTGTTTCGCGGAAATACAATCAAGTAGCCACATACAGTGTACTGGCCGCCGGGCGCGTGCCGAGGCAGAGTGGGTCTGCCGACGAGGCAACCGCCCACAACTGGTGGCGGCGATCGCATGTGCCACTGCTACCGACGCGTAGGCCGCCAGCGCATCTCGCAACTCGCGGCGCGACCGCTCGACCGACCACGATCGCTCGCGCATGGGTGTGAGTCCAGGCCAACTGCGTTGCAAATTGGTCGCCACACGACCCAGCATCTTCCGCTACACGGCGTGCGAGAGGGCTCGGGCCCACGAAATCGACCGACGTCACGGGCTCAAGAGGGCCATGACCCAAGTGCGTAGCAAAAGTTGGCGGTTCTTTGGCTGCGACACTGCCCTGCCGCATCCCGTCGCGGCGGTGGGATCGTCGACGCCGCTCAGCGCCGTAACGCAGCGACCGCGAGACAGCATCGTGCTACGGTACCCTTGCTTGCAGTTGCCGCACGAGCAGCGTCTGCCAGCAGAGTTCGCCGTGTACAGCAATCCGAGCGCCTCAAGGCGGAAGATCTGGTTGTCAAGATACGAGGCGTCGCGTCTCTGTGTCCCGGCTGCGGTGATGTGGCGTTGAAGCAGCAGCATCATCATGGTCGACTGCAAGCAGCATCGTCCTGGAATCTGCGACGAGATTGCATTTCGGGGCATGGCGACGCAGGATTGGCTAAAATTTAATTTGGTGGACCAATCCGCATGCCGCAGCCGCTTCACTGTGGCGCCAAAGCTGATCCGGCGCCTCTCGGGCCGTCGCTACGTGTCGTCCACGGCAGCAGCTCAGCTCGACAGTCTGTAGCAACGTACTATTAGGATGGGTCTGCAAGCATTTCTGCTAACGTTATATGAGTATTTTATCCTTGGGCGATAAATACGCCCGTGGGACGGTTCGAAGCGGCGACCTTGGTGTTGAGGAAAGCGCGGGCAACCAAAGGCTACTGCGTTTCGCGCGCATCACCGTCTCTGGAGCGTGGCCATGCGATTGCTGGCTTCTTTCTCTTTGATATGTGCTTGTGCTTGTCGGTTGGAGAGGCTCCTCTCAGTCCTAGTCTTATCTTTGCTTCGCCGCACTCAAACCGGTACTACGTAGTACGGTACACCATGTACAGTACTTGTACGCACGAGTAAACGTACGAACCCGAGTGGGCATGCGACGCCGCTTCGCGCTGCCTTCCCTATTAATACCGTCGTCGGCCCTGCAAAAGAGCCAGCTCCAAATGACAATGTTTACCACACCGCCGTTTGCCGCCAAAGCTGTCCGCGTCCCACTTGGAATGAAATTTCGATCTAGCAATCGCCACATGTCATTAGCACCACGGCAGAGTCTAGAAAAGGATTCGCTTGCATTTAGAAGTCCTCGACGATGCACGAACACACATCGAGTTGTCTTATTGTGCATATATTTATAATTACGAAGCTTTGTCGTTCAAACAAGCCAGCGCTGCTCTCGACCATGTACCAGACGCGCGGGTGCCACGGATAGCGCTACGAGACAGACCGCCGCCCAGATCTGCATATCCGGACATCCGGATACCAGGCAATCGGCCAATGGCATCGCGGCGATGGCAGAAGGGCGTTGGTCGCGTGAGTTGCTTACGATGGGCCTCGGCGTCCGCGTGCTCGCCGCTTGCCTGCTCGTGTCGACGCGCCTCGTGGCCGGCGCAAGTTGCGACGCTCTGCAGGCTTCGTACGACGACGCCGTCGACAACTGCTCAGTCGCGACGACCGCCGACAACGTCACATACATGATGCCAAGGCGGTGGTGCGGGTTTCCGAGCTGCGTCCATGCGACGCAGGTCGCCGCCGCCTTGGCGTCGCACCAGTGCAACGTGCCAAAAGACGCCTACCCAGCGCGCCACTGCGACGTACGTAGCATGCGCTCTCGATCCCTCTAAGCCTGCTGTGTAGCTATCGTGCATCGCGACGCTGACGGCGGTCAACCGCAACGCCTTGTCGTGTGGCGTGGCCAGTACGCTTGGCGCCGGCGACCTGCATCACTGCGAAGCGTGCAAGTACCTCTTCCAGAACCTCTCGGTCTTTCGCACCTCGTGCGGCGTCGCGCCGGGGACACAGGAAGCGAGCTCGTACCAAGCCAAGTTCCTCGACCCGCTCTCGTACTGCCAAGCCACGTTTCGCTACAAGCCCGACTTTCCCTTCAACGTCTCGTCGGCCTCGGCCTCGGCACCGTCGTCGACGTCGTGCGCGGTCGGGATCGTCTGCGCGTGCCTTGGCAGCCTCGGTGCACTCGTAGCGCTCGCGTGCTTTTGCAAGCGGCGGCGACGGCGCAAGCCGCTCCGCGCCAGCCTCGTGCGCATTCCAACAACGCGGGCGTCGACAGTGGACCTCGATCTCGACTTGGCGCCCTATGTCCTCCGCACCAACGACCGCGCGTCCATGGCGGCGTCCAGCATCAGTATGTCGGCCACCGACGTCCGTTTCGACCCGCGCATCATTCGCTTCCGCATCCCGCTTTCCGAATTTACCGACAAGACGCTGCTCGTCCACGGCGGGTCCGTCGTGCTCCACTTTGGATACTAGTATGTCTAACGGTGGTCTGTAGCCAAGGGCAGATTTTCCGCGCGCGGTGGCAGCACCATGCCGTCGTTATCAAGCAAATCGCCAACGGTAAAGACTACGACGCGATCCAGGTGCGATAGTTCAAGATTGTTAAGGTTTTTGGTATGTATGCATTGCGTAGGAGTTTATGCAAGAGATTCGCATCTCCGCGGCGCTGCGGCACCCGCACATTGTCACCTTCCTTGGCGTCGCATGGACGACGCTGCATGACATTGCAATCGTGTCCGAGTACATGGCGGCGGGTGACGTGCTCTCGATCCTACGGGACCAGCGAACACGCCCTCGGTCCGAGCAGTGGCTGCAGTGGGCCCGCCCGCCGGCCGCACTCACGTCCAAGCTCGATATCGCACACCAAGTGAGCATGGCACTCGAGTACATGCACAGCTTGGCGCTGGTCCATCGCGACATCAAGGCAAAAAACGTGGTCTTGAACGCGCAATTTGTCGCCAAGCTCTGCGACTTTGGCATCTCGCGCCCGACGTGCCCCAGCGCGACGATGACCGTCAACAAGGGCACGGTCGCGTACATGGCGCCGGAGGTCTTCACGGGCGAGCGCTACTCGGAGAAGGCCGATATCTACAGCTTTGGCGCGCTCGTGGCCGAGCTCGACCTCATGGACACACCGTATGCTGGCACGGACGAAGGGCAGGACGCGATGGTCGGTGACGCCCAGATTGCTCTTCAGGTACGTCGTCGTTGGATAGATGGATAGATATGGATCGCTGATGGATCGCGGATGGTGTAGGTGGTCGAAGGCGGTCTTCGCCCGCAGTTTTCAGACGCGATTCCTGCCGATGTCAAGGCGATTGCCGACGACTGTTTAGCGTACGACGCCGAGCGCCGGCCGAGTGCGAGCGAGCTTCAAAACCGACTGCGCAAGCTTGTCCATGCATCCCGCCGACTTGTAAATAGCACCAGCGAGTCAGCGAGTAGTAATAGTGACGTATAAACACACATGGTATAGTATAACCTTATTCTCGACGTGATGGAGTCTTCAACCGTACTGCAGTCGACGCTTTCAAGGAACAACAGGTCGCGGTGGACCAAGGTTCAACGCCAGCTCGGATCGACCACGGCGCTACATACACCACGTCGCTGACGCAACCCCCTTCTTTTCAACGCCAACGCATTCCATTGGTAGCTAAAGCGATAGTGTTGATGGACAACATGTCCGCAAACCGTGTTGAACAAAAATGGACAACTCGTCCACATCTACTCCATGTCGTCGTCGTCCTCGTCGTCGTCGTCACCCTCGTCGTACTCCATCTCGTCACCATGGCCTTCGCCATACCTACACCGCCGCATAGTATCTCGTCCGAGGGGACCAAGAGAACGATGCAATGCATACCGCTGGACGAGCTCGTCGCGGGTCGTCGGCACATTCTCGACAAGGTCCTTGAGCGCCAGCGTCGGCGGCGTCATCGCACCGCTCACAATGCACGAGATCTCGTACGCCTTGGCGTACGCCGCCTTGGCGCCGGCGATGTCGCCGGTGATGACGCGGACTTGGGCGAGCTGGTCGTAGTAGATGGTTTTCTCGTGGTGTGCGCCCGGCACAGCGTACTCCATGCTTGAGATGATGCGATCCCACATGGCCGCCAGCGTCGACACATTGTGCACCAGCGCTAGCATCAGCAAGCCTCACTCGCATCACTCTAAAAGTGGATGGCAACTACCTTGGGCGCCACGGAGACCGAGGGCATCGAGAGCCCAAAACAGCAGGTAGTGGTGCGGGTGGAGGCGGCCGGCCGACGCCGCTTCAATGCCCGCCAGCGTATCGGGAAAGTTTTCTTGCAGCGCGGCTTCGAGACGACAGACCTCGTCGACTTCGGCTGGCGTTAGCACCTGCGCAATATATGATGGTATCGAGCCATGCCGAGGATGAAAGCAAGGCGAACCTGGTGGCAGCTTTGGCACGCATACCCGGCCGTTGGCGACGGGTGCACGATCCCGTGGGGGCAGTGGCCGCAGCGGAACGCGCGTGCGCGATCGATCTGGCTCGAACACGCTTCGCAGTGGCACGCAAAGCCGTAGCTACCTCGTCCAATGTGAGCTTTAAAAAATGACGTGGCAGCGCCGACCCGTCTTGCATGCTCGCTTGGCGTTCGGCTGTCGGCCGGTAAAACATGTTGCCATAGTCGATCGAGAGCGGCTCGTTGGGCGCGATGTCGCGGATCGCAGTCACCCACAGCGTCGTCTCGGCCGTCGTAAAGCTACGTTGACGTTGTTGCTGTCTCTGCTGTAGGTCGGAGGTCGCTATACCTGCAGTTGGGGGCGCAGTTGTGCTCCATGAGGCAGGCCGAGAGGAAGAGGCCGGTGCCGCCGAGCGTCTCGAGCTCGTGCGAGTTGGTGTTGAGGACGCCAATGATCTTGGTGAGCACGGGCGAGGGCACCGACTGGAACACGATCGGGAAGGTCTTCCGGAGCGTCTTGGCGGCTGCCTCGCACGCCTCGTTGTTGGCGTGCGAAAGCTGCAGCAAGGCTGCAATCGACGCCTTGCTTTCGAGGTACTAGTCGATCGAACCGTGGTGGGAATATGCAGCAGCGGATCGATCTAGGACTGGCTGTATTACCTTGGTGACGACCTTGAGAATGCACTTGGCGCGGTCGACGTCGCCGATGATGTCCATGTCCATCATGGCCAACAAGATCTTATGGAAGGACTTGCGCATCGACTTGGCGTACTCGGGCTGGCTCTCGGTCTCGTCGAGGAGCTTGGCAAACTGCGTGACGTCCTCGAGCAGCGCTTCGCAGTCGCACGTTGCATACACAAAAGCCTCGTCCTTGAACACAATGTCGCCAGGTGCGAAGCTCTTGGTGGCCGTCACGAAGCGGCCTTTCGTCGCGTCTGTCTGCGTCGCGATCGCCGCGGTGGCAAAGGTCGGGAGCTGGTCGAGGCTCATGCTGGCAAAGTGGATTCGAGGATGATTGGATGGCCTTTCCAGCAACGCGCGCTGTGATTGGCTATCGCATGGTGCTGTCAAATCCATTGAAACTGGCGGCCGGCAGGCATTTGATCGGAACCAGTTTTTTGCAGTTTGTTGGCCCATGACTTGATACATACTTGATACTTATCCATCCACGGGGTCGTTGGCAGCGAGAGGGCCAACAAAGAGCGCCTGCTACTGGTACCACGGCCAACAGCTTGGCCTTGGACTCGAGCTCGACCGCTCCCCGCGCATTCTGCGGGTTTTCCCCAACGGCGAGTCGACGATGGCCGGGCATGGCCACGGTGTAAGTACGTACATGTACATTGTTTCAGTACGTCGACCGTTTTAGGATCGAGGATCTGGTTTAGATGGAGACTATGTCGCATACGAGCCATCGCGCGGCGAAGTTGTCATCGAGTACTTTGGCTACGACCTGTTGCAGCACGAAGGCTGGCGCGTAGTTTTGCACCTCGTGCGCCGCCTCGACGGCTGCCTTGTCTCGGTGTGGATGCGTCGGCATCTATTATTTTGGAATCTTAGTTGGGGATAGTGATGTTGGAAACATCACAGTCAAAACGTGCCTGGGACCATGGGGCAGGGCTTTTGACAACTGCCGCAAGTCGAAATGCAAGAAAGAACGACACAATTTCAATTGTCCATCGAGAGCGCTCGCACCATGGTGCGCTTCCCCCCGGAGGATCCGTTCCGCAGTCGCAAGATGAAGCGGTATCTACTCTTGGTCCGTACGAATGGGCTTTCCGAATGGGGCTTTACCATCGACGGCAAGTGCATCGTCGGCGCGGTCAGGCAACGAGAAACTCGCAAGCCTTGGCCAAGGCAAGAAAAAACCGATCGATGGGCTTGCGATCACGAGCATCATCGATTCTGAAGCGCACTTGTCGCCATTTTTGTCGACCCTCCAACACGCTTCACCGACGATCAGATCCAATGCCTGAACCGTCGCCTCACAGTCTACGCCAGCCATCGAGGCAAAGCGATGGGGTAGATCTGCGATCGACGCCATGCATTCGACAACCAGCTTCAAAGCCAGCCGCGTGCCCAGAAGCCTCGGCTGCTTGACAGCCCACCGATCCGCCACTTCGAGAATGCCGTACGCAGCGCCACCGTCGCACTTGCGTCGAGCGACGCTGGTCGGCCAAACACGGCGAGGTAAGCCGACGACGTCAAGCGCGCACTTGTGTCCGTTGACAAGCAGCTCAGCGACGCGGCGGTGAGCGCGATATCCGTTGTTGCGGCGATCTTGCAGCCCGCCTTGCTTGCCCCGAACACGAGCACGACTTCAAGCTCGTACGGCGTCGTTGACAGCTTGAACTCTGTCGACTGCTCGGGTGACGCTATCGACCGAGCGGCTGCGTCCGAAACGAACAAGAGCGCATCGCGTAGTGCTACCGTCGGCGAGGTCGAGCCAGACGAGTCCCAGGCCACGTCGGAAGAGATGGCGCTGGAGCCAGATCTTGACGAGCACCGTGTGTACATCGTCTAGCGCTATCACGTGGGCGTAAAATCCAAGAGGCATGCAAAGAGCAGTGTGTGCTGTCGACTTGCCTGTTGGTTCACGTATTTACCGCTGTAGCTGTAGTGATAGAGGTTGTTGGCTCGTACCTCGTTCATCCTCGTGCAAGCAAGTGTCGGAGCCGTCACGTCGGATGAGTCCTTGGCACCGAGCTCTCGCGCGTGTATAGAAGATGGCGTTGTGTTGAGTGACCAATGGTCCGCAACCGTGTCCTGCGCCGAGGCAGCAGTGGCGCCATCAGCTGTGTGCACCTTGATGCCATGAAACCAAGGTCAAGAAGAGACGCCTCGAAAAGCCCGTTGACGACTTGCCAAAGTCGGTACCGAAAGCGATCGGGCCTGTCGAAGCCGGCTTTTACCTGCCTGCTGCTGATCGTGTTTGAAACTTGCTGGAGACTGTCGGCAGCGGTGCCACGTCATCACACGGTCACGGACGCACCCCGAGGACGCATTGCCGAGATCCTATCGGAGCCGCATCACAACGGACAAGCACGTTGGTTGAGTAAAGGGCACCCTTGTCTTCTACCAGGGGTGCTGCTACTGGAACTTGTAGCGGTCGATGCGAGAACCCTACGTGTTTCTGTAGGTCACTGTTCCATGGATCGAGCGAGACACTCTATGTTGCGGTTGGCATGGAGAGTATAGATCGCCATCGATGCTCGAACGATGCTGCAAGAAACCATGGTTGCCAGACTTTTGTGGCAGACGAGTTGCAGTGCAACCAGCGGTGTGGGTCTCCGTCGCCGTAACGGCGCAGCGGGTGCAGCTCGATTCGTGTACTGGTGGCTTGACCAAGACGGTTGAAGATGACAAATACCTCAGTAGGCCCGACGCCTCTTCTACGTAGAGCATTACGAGCAACGAGGCGGACCAACTGCTGTCCGACATGGCGCAAGGGTGACAGCAAACTGTCCACGAACTTTCACGAAACCCATCAACCCTGGCACAGAATGTAATGCATTCATCATGTGCATTCATCGCCTTTTTTATCGCTCGACGAGGAGTAATAGCCAAACTTTTCGATAGTAGGGAGCTAGGGAGCAGCCGCTGGGAGCGCCCTCTGCAACCACACGGTGCAACCACAGCTCCGTCCGGATGTTATCTAGATTCCTCGCAGTTGATGTGAGTTTCGAACAGCTCAGTTGCGCCGTCCCCATCAACACGTGAAACCGCTGGACGCATCAGCATTGTCCATCAATAATACAGTACCGGTATGGGACGACGGAACGACGACGTACACGTGCAAGGTGCGGCTAGGTTGTTGGTGCGCTTCGTGCTTCTTCAGGTTATAGCTTTCCGACTAAAATACAATAGGAAACGACTAGTATTCGCTGGACTTCATTTATACTGCTGACTTTGCGTGTGGTTGAAGGCGCTGGGCGCAGCAAAGCACCGAAAACGTCCAACGAAACCGAAGTTCGAAGACGATACTGATTGGGTAGAGGAACCAGCACGATGAGTCCAAACTCACGAATCCAAATCACGAAATCATCAAGAGCACAGAACGAGTCCGACCGAGGTGTAGTGTATTGGGAATTTACCTCCATGCGATTATACCTCTGGATATAACGGGTACGAGAGATGACAAACACTGGCGTAGACTTCGCCGATGTGACGCGGAATGCGTGGTAAGCAATGCCGTGGTCCACAATGGTCGAAAAGATCTCGTCACGGATCGGACGTTCCGCCGCATCCGCTTCGAAATTCGATCGCGGTGTGCTTCGCCTTCTGCGGGCAGGAACACTTTGCCTGTGTCTTGCTCGGCCAACCCTTCGCCGTCTTCCGCCTCTGTTGCTCCTTCGATATAACGCTCTATCCCGCTTGGAGTGGCGTGGGGTGAATGCGCCGTTTGTCGAGCTAGAGGGAGTGTAATATGACGCGACGTCAAAACACCTGGTGCAGCCTGGAATACCGTACAGCTCTCAGCCAACGTCAAGCGCAACTGCGTTCGGCTCGAGTCGTGGCCAGCGTTCAACTCTGGCAAAAAAGCTGCATACCAGGGATAAGTGCAGCGATACACCGTGTATCTCATGACGTGAGGCCTTGGACGTAGAAATGCGCCGCTGCTTGATCGTTGCTCGCCTTCCATTCGGACATTTTGCGAATAGTTGATTCTGTGCGCAGGTCCTTGACGATGTGGTACTTGGTTTTGCCGGATTCGTGTGATGAAAGCACACTCTGGTAGCAATGTTGATTCAGAGTGGGTTGTGCAGCACGCTGGGTTCCCAGTCCGAGTTCCAGTTTGCCCTTTGCACATATCAGTTTAAAAACGGGAATCAACATCCACGCGACCCAAACCAAACCGTCAACCGGGTCGCGACGTGTTTAATTACGTCCTCACTATTTTTTAAAATATTGGTGTTCGGAGCATGGCGGCGACGAGCTCGTTTGTTGTCAAGCACTGCGGCCACGACAGCGTCTTCCTCCCCAAGTACACACGGTACGCGACTTACGCACCGCGCAGGTCACTTAGCAATACGTACGACGCAGGTACCAGAAGGCGCAGAAAGTCAAGGTACGGGATCGACGGCGATCCCACGTGCCTCACAGTAATGACACGTGCGTAGGTGCTCCGGTACGCCGACCACCGCCGTCGCATCGAGGGACACTTGTGCCTTCTAGGTGCTTCCCCCACTGCTGCCCGAGCCACGTCTACTACCGGTACTGCGGCGCGCCCATCGAGGTCAAGACGCAGCTCCCGACCAACGACAACACGTCCGTCGATGACTACGTCACGCTGCTCAAGATTGCGCCCGCCTATGACGTCGACTGGGCCGTCGGCGATGTCATTCCGCCGGTGACAGCCGCCGACCTCAAGGCCCGCGCGAACGAGCACGGAACGACGTGGCACGTCGGTCGCAACGAGCTGCGCGCGGGCGGTGAGGTGCGTAGTAGTACCTCAATTGAAGACGCTCGCATCTTGAACTAGACGACCGAGTTGACGAGCAGCTTCAACAATGACCTCGTCGATGGCTGGGTGTATGGCTGGAAGAGCGGGCGCAGCCAGGTCGTGCGCGACTGTCTCCACCACGTCAAGGTACCCAATATGTCCCTGAACGAAGCCTTAATGAAGGCATGTTGCATGTTGTTGCAGGTGTTTGTCTTTACGATCGAGCGATCGAGGAACGCGAGCCACGACGTGCACTGGCGGCTCGTGGACCGCGTCTTCTCGCCTGGCTTTACCTTTGTGTCGTACCGGAGCCTCCACTACGCCAACGGATCCGAGCCGAACGAGACGCACCAAGCTGCATCGCCAGTGCTCTCGGGCAACTTGCCACCGAGTGGGATCGCGCCGCCGTCGTCGCCACGCCACGTCTCGCCCCAAACCCAGCTCATGGCCAACCGGCTCGGGCTCCTCGTCCTCTGCGTGGGCCAGCTGCCCGTTATTCATGGGCCGTGGCAAACCGATTTGGTCGAGGCCGTGGCCGGGACCCGCCGCGGGCCACCGACCCCGCTGCCGTTTCGGCTCGTTGCGGTAGTATCAACGTATCAATTCTTGTTTTGCGATGTCTGTCGTTGGGCTAGGGCGACCCGCTAAGCGCGGGGCACGCAATGCTCATGCAGTGGCTCGTGCACCTCGTGCATTCGCAGCACGCAGCCATGTACCGGCGTGTGATCGCTGCCAACCACAACTGCCTCTTTGACAAGGCGCGACTCATGACGGCGTACAACGCCTGCGTCCACATGCTGCACGCGGCCTCGGAGGCGTTTTTTGAAGCCCGAGGCACGACTGTCGGCGCTGTTGCCAAGGCCGTCGCGAGCGCTGACCTCGAAGACGCGCTCCAAGCCCAAGTCGGGACCGAGGGGTACTTTGGGTACCATTCGTTTGTCGCTCATTTTCGCGAAGTGTTTCTCGTACGCACGCAAGGAATGGCAAGGGATGGCTATTCAACCAATCTATCTATCTGTAGAGCTCGACGTCGGGCCCCGTCGCGTGGCCGACAGCGCGCGCCTCGCCGATGTGTGGCAACTGGATCTTTGATCCGAGTCGCAGCCGCCTCCAACTCCCCGCGTGCACCGTTTTGGACGCGGTGCGATGGACGACATGGCTCTATCGGTGCCGGCTCGCGCTCTCCAACGGCACGCTTTGGGTGCGTCGTGATGTCTCGCACCAAAGGCGTAACGTCGCGTAGGTGCAATCGCACTGGGGCGTCTACTCGAGTCGTCCGAGTATGTTGGAGCTCGACCGCTCCCCGCGCATTCTGCGGGTTTTCCCCAACGGCGAGTCGACGATGGCCGGGCACGGCCACGTCTTAAGTACGTACATTGTTTCAGTACGTCGACCGTTTTAGGATCGAGGATCTGGTTTAGATGGAGACTATGTCGCATACGAGCCATCGCGCGGCGAAGTTGTCATCGAGTACTTTGGCTACGACCTGTTGCAGCACGAAGGCTGGCGCGTAGTTTTGCACCTCGTGCGCCGCCTCGACGGCTGCCTCGTCGTCCGCGCTGCGATACACAAGTTGGTGGCGCCCATGAACGACGACATTGTGTGCTCGAGCCCCGAGAGCCGCGTCCAGCTCTGGGCCACGTCCCCGTTTGATGTTGTCGGCCACGGTGACGCCGTGTACGTGGCCGCAGCGTAGAGCGTAGCCTCCTCCTCGAGAGACGACGACGTAACACGACTTGGCGCTGAAATCTGCGACCGTGTTGACTCGCCCTCAAAGCTCAAATCCCCCGCGCGACAAGATGCTTGGACATGGCATGGTGTCATTTGATAAGACCTCCAACGTGCGCGACGCTATCGAAATCGCCCGGCGCTGAAACACAAGTCGTTGGCTAGCGCGAGCGAAGCGACACCAGTGGGAACCGAACAAAGGCTCGTCCAGGTGGAGCAAACGGTGGGCCAAGAGAAGAGGCTCGCACGATTGCACAACCCATAAGCTCAAGTGACACCGGTCACAAGAAGGCAGTACAACTGTGCGTCATGCGCAGGTCGTCTAGGTTTAACTCTTTCTGTGCCTGGACACCCTTTGGCACGACGACAATAAACGCACGGTACGTGTGGTCGATGAGCAGGGATCGCGTCTGGTGTCTGGCGCGGAATCCCAGCTCTGTTGTCTCATTCGATTGCATTTCGATCAACGGCGACTCTCTGGAGATGTAAACGCAGAACTCGTTCCTTTCGTGCGTGGTACTCTCTTGCATGTGTTGTTCTCTGCGGTGACTTGACCACCGCAAGAGTACTCTTGACCACCACCACTAGTGATGACACGACCTCGAGAAGCATCACACCGTAGCTGTGGGCCTCGCTTGCCATCGACCATGCCGACGTGGGATAGCATACTGGTGCGTTTCACCCTTCTCTACACTTTTGGGCTCGCCGTTCGTTGTGCAATTTGTAGGTACTGACTGGCACTGACGTTTATCCCCACATCGCAGGACCGGGTCCGTCTCTCGAGGAGCTCTACCGTGGCTTTGGTTTCGAAATGTCCACGGGGTCGACATGTCTCAGCCGTCGCCCTCTTCGGTGGCCAAGACGGTACGGTTGCACGCACGGGACGAAGTTGTTGGTGACGACGGTCGAGCGACGAACAACGGAAGGCTAGAAGAACAGAAAGATGGAAGATAGAAGGTCGCCATCGCATTTTGCATATATATATATATATCGCATAAGTACAGCGCTTCCCGCCCGTCACGCCGAACATGGCTAGACTCAATGTGTCTACTCTGCTTCCGTGCGACAAGCGAACATCCCATCGACACTCTGCACGAGTGACGCCTCGACGTGCGGTACAAAGCAAGATCACGATCGCTTGCTCCAGCACCATGTCGACGAGTCGAGTCTAATCTCACCAAACCCTCAAGGACAGATCAGCCAAGACGACAGACACGCGCGACAATATGTCTGCCAGTGCAAGGACACGTTTCGTACTTGACCTACGCTGTGTGGACCGCTCTGTAGACGTTTGCGGGAAACGGGCAGTCACTTTTCGCGCCATGTGACGTGACCAGGACATCCCACTGCTAACGCGCTCAAATGACGTGATACAGCGTCGGTCAGCGTTGGTGACGGACCCTGCGTCCGACGTGCGTCCTCACGAAGCTATCACAACGGGATCGTGCGTGTGTCATGGGTGTCTTGCCAAGACCACACATGAATATGTCCTTGGTTGTTTAGACATTTTGGACGACCCATGGCCAGTTACGCCGGTTTCAGATTACATTCGGCATATGCCACGTATAAGCCAGTGCTCTTTACCGCAACAGTGCCATGACGACGACCTACGAGCACGCCTTCGTACACGCATGGAATGCTCGACGCAAGGGATGTGCAACCATCTTGCATCGCCATCTCGCGCGACCATCTCGCTTGCTTTCGAGCGACCCACGCCGCGCGAGGTCGTAGGATTCGGCACAATATGCCACTTTTAACACGGACCAAGCATCTCTCTATTGCAGCATGAACGTCTACAACGCGGCCGCGGCCGTCGTCGACAAGGTCCGGACCAAGCACAGCGGGATCCGCACGGCGCTCTACGCGCTGCCCATCTCGCATGGCCTGCGGCCGACGATCCAGGCGCTGGCGCAGGAGAGCCTC